AACATCCATCTATCCATCTAAACATTCACATTTATAATCTGATATTACTATTATACGAGTAAATGCGAAAATTTGGATGGATGAATGTTTGTTAGATTTGCTAGCCTAAACGGCTGAACATTTCTCGTTGAAATTTGGCACAGACGTCTAGGATAGTCTGAAAGAACACATAGGCTACTTTAATTTTTTTTTTAATTTAACGCTAACGGAGTGCGGTCGAAAGCCAGTTATATAAAAGGGTTTCGATTACGATTTGATAAAATAAGAACACAAAAATGCAATTTCCAAAAGGTAGTTTATTTAATTTTGTGTATTACAGTATTCAAAATCCAAATATGTATAAGAATCGGTAATCCGTGAAACGAAACGTTGCTTGTGTTTGTCAAAAAGTTAGCAGACGGAGTTCAGGGTTTTATTAGGCTTTTTTCGGAGGGTCACCATTGTCGGAGCACGTATCACATGCCGCATCATTTTGACTATTTAATATGATGCCAACAACTTCCTGCCCTACGTTGAAAGCGCTTGAATCGTCAGCGGCATTCACATCGTTGGTGACCGAACTGTTAAACGTACTGGTTACCTGTCTTCTATTTCTTACAATGCCCATTTCAACGAATTGGAACATCAATACGACTAGTAATAGACACATGGCCATTTTCTGTAATAAAAAATGTAATTTAACTAGGTTTATACGTAACGAATACTAATATTATACACATACTAATAATATAAATGCGAAAGTTTAAATAGACAGATGTATTGATGTTTGTTATATACAAACTATAACCTAAACAGCTGGAAAGATCTAGATGACATTTGGCATAGATGTGGAGGTTAGTCTGGAAGAACATATAGGCTACTTACTTTAATTTTCTTTTAATTCCACGTGGACGGAGTCACGGTTGAATGCTAGTAAATACATAATTCAACACCTACATATATGGAATAAGTACATAATTAAATCAAAACTTAAATTTATATTCCTTTTCCCGAAGAATACGATTAAACAGTGCTTTTGGTTCGATTCGTAGAAAATCGTCTCATAAGTATTATTGTCTGTATTTTATATTTAATTTACTAAAATACAATACTAACTCACCTTTGATTCCATTGTGAATGTTTTACTCAAGTAACTTTCAAAGTCTGTTGATATTCCTCTGTTGGAAATACTTATTTATATATCACGATGTCCCTGTAATGAGGCTGATTGATTGTAAAAATACTTACTTTAATTGTATAAATTAAAATCTTGATATTATGTACGTTAATTAGCTTAAGTACGTGTGCTAATTATGAATATCACAAATGTAAAGTCCATACCATCTTATTAATATTATAAATGTGAAAACTCTAACAAACATCCATCCAATGTTTGTTATAGTTTGTAGCCTAAACTGCTGTATGGATCTCTGTAAAATTTGGCATAGATGTAGAGTGTCTGGAAGAACACATAGGCTACTTAATTTCGTTTGTTTTAATCCCACGCGGATGAAGTGGGCAAAAGCTAGTATGATATAAACTTATGTATTTAAATAGGAAAGGTGTGAATCTCTATATGGTTTCTGATACAAAGAAATAGACCAGCCATATGTACCTAATCCTGCGTAAAATAATCAAAAAGGAAAGACCAAAAGTAAAACAAACGATAATCCGAATTTTTGGTAATTAAATAAAATAAAACAACAAAACATTTATTATATCGTACCAATTAATTTATTGCAGATAATAAATTAATTTGTTTTTGTATTCCATGTTAGTAATCGCACCAACAATCGGTATAAATAATGGCAGTACAGGGCATGTTGCAACTATAAGTTTAACAGTTTTAAGTAATCCTCACGGCTTTTATCATGGGTGTAAAAGTAAGTTTACAAACGATTTCTAAAACATATCTAATAATCTTACTTCTTACTAATATTATAAATGTGAAAGTTTAGAAGAATGGAAGGATGTTTGTTAGAGTTTGTAGCCTAAACGGCTGAACGGATTTTGATGAAATTTGGCATAGATGTAGATGATAGTCTGGAAGAACATATAGGCTGTTCGCTTTTCTTTTTTCAATTCCACGCGGACGGAATCGCGGGCGAAAGCTAGTTTATAATATACCTAAGCATTGCGACATTATGAATGAATTCAAAAATTAAATAAATACGATAACGAGCAAATGCCGGTGCTAAGTATTCTTAATAATTGAGATATTGTTCCTAATTCAAAACAAAATATTGTTTACATTTTTTTTGTGTGTTTTCAGGTAACGGCCATATGTCTGGTTCTAATCATTTGCGTATCCCAGGAGGTAGAATTAAAAAGTGTGAGGGTCCCGAGACAAGTCACATCTGATTTTCAAAACGAAGTTATAAACAGAGTGAACGCTGTTAATGATTCCCTGGCGATTAACTTGGGGTCTATCGTTGATACTTCAATATTTAACCAACAATCATCATGTCCTGATTGTGCCTCACAACAAGGTCACTAACATTTGACAGGCAACTTGGAAATAAAGATCATCGACAAGGAAAATTGTTGATTATGCGAGTATGATGTTGACACATTTTTTAATATATTTTTAATAGCATTGCATGTAAACGTTTTATTTTATCCATCATCCAATCAAATGTTTATTAAAGTTTGGGATTTGTTTTCAACTGTTTCGGAACACTTAGTAGTTTTTTATAGGCGATGGCATGCAGTTACGTTTTTAGCAGGTATTTTTTTAAAAAATATACACAACATTATAATGGAGCATACAGTCACAAGCCACTAGGTGAAATTATCATTAAATTAAATCTCTCGACAAAGACATCATGAGGCCAACAAATATTCAGATTAAATTAAATGCCGCCAAATTAGAGGGTTTTTGTTTTATTTGCTTGTAAGAAATTGATCTACCGCTGGACATCCTACATGATGTATTAATGGATATCAATAGAAAAAGCATTAATGTTATACATTTATATTAACAGAACTGAAATGACAAAATTTCTGTATGAAATTAAAAAGAAAAAGGTTTTTTTTGTATGGAATTTAGGCTCAGCGACGACTAATAATGATATGGTGAAAATGTGAACAGAAAAGATTTTTTTACAAGGTACATTCGGGGCATTTTACTGTATTCATTTTAAAAAAAACTATAGTCGTTAGAACGTTTCTCCCACCTTGAGACAATGACCAATAGGATGCAGCTTTTATGTATGGGTACACGGCTAATTCTTTTTTTATTATCATACCGTTGGTTGCGTAACTCGCCGCTACCTAAGTGATAATAACACACATAAAAAAAAACATACAGACGAATTGAGTACCTCCGTCTTTTGGGAAGTCGGTCAAAAAGTGACAGAGTTTATTTTAATGCACGGAACAGGGATTTCTCTTTGTAAGTGTAACACTGGATATTTCCGCCACTGTACATGGTAATTCTTTGGTTAACAGCAGTGCCCTACAAAATGTATGTCAATAGTTTGACTGTAAGATCTTTTTTAAAATTACTTAAGAACATAACAAACATTTAAAAAGTGGTAGTTAAATTTAGACTTAAAACAATTCTTAAAGGCTGGAAATTGATAGGAATTTTGAGAACACCCCCTTCAGAACACCTGTAGGGACAGAAAAGTCCCTACAGGTTCCCTTCCTGATTGTGGCGTAGCAAGGGGTCAAAGGGGACATCTAGTCCTGGGCGCAGCTCTTACGGGGCGCCAATTGCTCCGCGAAAAAAAATTATAATCAGATTCTGGAATATACATTAAATTATGTGCCAATTAATACGAAAATATTAAATGATTCTTCTGAAATAAAACGGAACACTACGAATCTAAACCACCGGATCTTATCGTATTCTTGTCGATTCAAGGGCGGATTGGCAGCAGACTCAAGTTGGAGCCTGGGCGGAAGATTTTAGGGGGCAGCAAAAATATGTTACAAGTATAAGAAATAAGAAAATACCTACGCCCGCATTGGCTGCTTGCGCAAGCACTGTTTTACTGTCATTAAAACACGGCATTGGTGGCTAATACTCTGTATAAATGTAACATAAATTTAAATAATAAGTATAAATGTAACAAATATTATTGTAGATAAATTTAATAAGTAACATCGACAAGGAACATCGCCATTCCTATTGAATTTTCGTTTTCATGAAAACTTAGAAAATCTTTATCGGACATAAGCTATCGTTCTATGTTAAAAAAACAATCGATTTCGATGAGCTATTAGGAGTATAATCTAATGTTTTTACTAATTTACTGAACATAAATTATAAATTTGCGTACTTTTGAATTGTGATCATGACAATTAGGATCTCGCAATCGAGCTTTGCACAACTCTAGACTAAAGCAGCAAATTACGAGCAACAATCTGTCCAACATAAACCTAAAGTGGTTATTAAATTTGACATTGAAAGAGTTGTTCACGGATTAAATGATAAAGTCTTTTGAACCATACATTTTAATGGTTAACAAAAAAAATGCCTAAAGATTGTACAGAATTTATAATTAAAAAAATTATCAATGACATGAAAAGGACGAACGTTTTAAAAATGGGATAACGATATCAATTTCCAACTTAATTGGTATCCATAATGCAGTATGTGTTAATTACGTAAAAATACATAAATAGTTAAAATAAGAACTTATTGTAGTATTTTATTTTTTCAATTGATTTCGATTGAAACTATCAAATGCTGGGATTGATTTAAAAAAAGATTAAATAAATGACCAATCGAGATTGAGAGATGTAGAATTGATTTATTTCGCACAGTGGAACCTAATGCAAGAGCTAAGGGTCTCAAGAAATGTTTATTCTTATGAAATAATAAGGCATTCAATTGAAAGTCGTAACAATTTTTTTTTGTTAAGTTTTGTAATTTCTGAATACATTGTCGTTATCATCGTTAATTTAATCGCACTAATTAAATGCTCGGGTATTTTTCAATGTACTAATTAATTGTTGCCGCAGTATAATAAATACAAAGAAAGCTGCAATTTAATCATATTTTCAGTTTTATTCTTTACGAGTAAATACCTACAAGAACATTAACAATGGGAGTAAAAGTAATTTATTTTATTATTTCGATTTCACCCATTTTTCCTTATTGGAAACCTATGTCTGTAACAAATAATCCCAAAATGAAGGTTGCCTATTATGAAAAATAACGTTTAACATTTCTCGTATTATAATGCTCTTAATATATTTGTTTACTAGCTGTTACTCGCGACTGCGTCTTCGTGAATTTTAAAAATAATAAGAAATGTTGCCTTCCCACTCATGATTAACTTTTTATTAGTGAAAGAATGTCAAATCGGCTCAGTAGCTTTTGAGATATTTCAGTACATACAAAAATACAAATCTTTCCTCTTTATAATATTATTATAGATTATGCTTTGTTTAAGAAGTATTGCTTCATTTTTGGTATTTTTTAGATTGCAGCCATATGTCTGGTTCTGGTGATTTTCATATTCCAAGAGGCGGAATTAAAAAGTATGAGGGTCCCGAGACAAGTCACATCTGATTTTCAAAACACAGTTGATAACACAGTGAACGCAACCGATGATTCCGAAGCTGTTAACCTGGGGTCGGTCGTTACTGGTATAATAGTGAGCGAGACTTTATGTTCCGATTGTCAAGGAAAAGATTAGAAACATCTAGCGAAACAGCGACTTGGAAATAACAAACAACACTCGATCTGTCATCAAAAATTGTTAGTTTTATAATATTGACATATAATAAATTTTGAATAGCATTGAATGTAAATGTTTTATTGCGTCCATCATCCATTCCATTGATACTCTATGTGGCCGGACTGGCTTCCAATTCCTTACAGTGGTAGTGCCCGCTTTAACATATTAGCACGAATGGGCCGGCACGCCCGGTGTAATACCACGACCACACAGAAGACAGACGTGAAATGGAAGCATTTCCGTGTTTCGTCTGATGAGTGTGGTGCCGGAGGCCTAATTTAAGTCATATTCTCTTTAACAACCTTTTCTTATAAGGAGAGGATGGGAAGGGGAAGTGGATTTGCCGGTGGAGGAGATTCATAGGAAGGGGAAATGTCCTCTTTATGTGCGTCTTCTCCTCCGTCGGATAAGGGTAGACAACGCATCTGCAATAGCAGATGTCTATGGGCAACGGTCGCTTCGCCATTTTGGCGGATTCAGGTGGCCACTTGCCCGTTTGCCAACTTATGTTATAAAAAAAAACATTCCTTCCACATTTTTACCATAACAATTGACAATTGAAAGTATAGTAACAATTAAGCAATGAATCTACATTGACTGACACCGACATCAAAGTAATAATAATTGTACAATATAGACATAACAGTTACAAAGGAATTATTTCGTTACTTTTTAGTGTACTGTTTTTTTTGAGAATATTTTGTTTTTAGTGTATTTTGTTTTGTTTTTAGTGTACTTTGTTTTAATCTGACTACTTACTAAAACTATAATTGCGAAATGGATGTTTGTAGCCTGCTGAACCCATCTCGATGAAATTCAGCATAGCCTGGAAGAACACATAAGCTACATACTTTTCTATTTATTTCCACGTCGACGGAGACGCAGGCGAAAGCTAGTCCCTCATAACGAGTGATTATTTTTTTTACACAGTTTGGTTGTCATTTACAATCAAGTATAGATATTAAAAAAAATAGTAAAGACAATTATGAGTCATTTTCTATTGTAAAGTTGAACTTTTTAATTTTAAGTCCTCAGTAAATTTCCTTTAAGAACTATTATATAGTCAGATGTTCGATAAAACAAGATAAATCGAGACTTCATCCGCGCAGACAAAACAAACTAGGAAAATCAAATAACAGCGTATTCCTCGAGAACCTGGCATTTTTCGGCAATTAACCGTATCCCATGTGTTACTCTAGACTTTGACTTATATCTGGGTCCAATTTCAATATGATATATTGAACCGTTGCAGAATTATCAAGTCAACATTATGCCGTAATTCACATAAAAAACATACAGACGAATTTAGTACCTTCTTCTTTTGGGATGTCGGTCAATAAAAGACAAATTTAATGTACATATTTCCGGGATCAAAAGTAGCCTATAGGTTCTTCCAGATTGTCCTCTATATCTGAGCAAAATTCGAAACACGTTAAGCAGTTGATGCTACAAACTCTAACAAACATCAATCTAAACTTTCGCATTTATAATATTAGTAAGATTTTGACTTCAGTTTAGAAGGGACATGTCGATATATTTTTATTTTCTGTACAACGCAATACAGTGGACTTAAGTAAATTCTTTGAAATCCTATATTAAAATTGCGCAAAGATTATTTTTTTTTAAATAGGATCGATGTCAAAGACTTATGTTGGTTAGCATGTTACAACAACCATAAGGCGTTAACCCCCAATTATTTTTTTATCTTATGAGTATAATTATCTGCCCCAATTCAATCATAATGATGAATATTACCAAGCAGCCTCATTAACATTTTTAATATAAATATAATCAGAAGGATATTCACTAGTTCAGTATAAAGGAATCGTTAAGACTGTTATAATGGAAGCTAAAGTAAGTTGGTAAAATATATTATTTTAAGTAAATGTTAATGTATATTATCTACGAGTATAGATATAATAAAATTAGAATGTCTGTTTGTAATATCAAAAGAAAAAATACAGATTTCGGGAAGACGATGTATTTGCGTTGCCGATAACGATAATCGCATTCAAAAAACTTGTATCTGTCTATCCGCAAGCCGCGTTTGTTTCGAGTAAACTCCGAAACAGCTGGGCTGATTTCGACCGGACTGTCATTGAAGGGTAGCTGATATAGACGGCCATGTTATAGGCGATTTTCTTTCTATTTCCGCAGTCAAAATGGCGTATCGGGTGGTCCAAATTTACGCTAACAAAGTTTGCGGGCGACAGCTCATATTAGTAGTATAAGTTTTGCTTCAATATTCAAGCAATATGTCCCATAATTATGTCGAACTCCAGGAAAGCCTTGATTATCGAACATTTTTTGAAAGGGACATCAGATGTAAATTATCACGTAATAAAATGTAGAGCAAAAATACAAAATAGCTTTGTATTTTGTTATTACTCTTTTTCTTAGTGAAAGGGCTACTAACATATAACAAGGTAATGTCTAATTTCAATGTTATTAATGTACAATGTATTTATTTGCAGAAACTGGCGACATGTATCATGATCCTTTTTATAACGTCAAATATTGAAGCGTCCGTCCGTAGCACGAGACAAATAAATTCAGTAACAACAAGCAGGGTAACTAACAATATTAATGCAGAAAACAATTCTACAGTGTTTAATATAGGACAATTCCTTTCTACTGCTATTAGCTCCTCTCGAGTGTCAACGCATGTACCAAGTGAACAGTCATGATTTGTAACACAGCTTTATACAGAAATATAAAACTGTGTAAAATATTAAACAGTTTATTTGTAATGGGTTTAAACTTCAATAAAATTTATTAAAAACATATTATGTTTTATTTTACCAACCTTATCAACAATGTTATCGTCCATCTTAATTACCAGATTAATCGTATATTAACCACAATTTGTATTTATCTTTTAATTGGTATAACTGTAATTGTAATTGTAAATCTCTTATTTTTCAATAAAATTACTTCTATTTCTATTCCTATTTCTATCTTATTGTTTTGGAAAACACAAGGATAATGGTGTAAAGATGTGTTACAAACAGCAATTATTTTTCATTGCTTTTTGTAACGGCCGACATTTTTTTAATTTTAATTCTAAGACTAATGATATGTATTGAACATTATATATACATAGATTTTTATTAGTTATATATTTGCAACTTAATACAATAAAAACCTTTTTTTAAATCGTTCTGGACGGCCACTTTGAATTTCCTATTATTTTAACAAATAATAACAACAATAGAAGTCACGACGATTATGTAATTTCATAAATTGTGTTTTTTTTTTTAATTCTACATATGCAATACATTACTAATATAGTCAATTATAATAGTACCCAATATAGGTTTTACTAAAATAATTGCTTCAGTAAAAAAATGCGATATTTATCTTTTATATACGGATTAAAAAAAACTCAAAACTGAATTTAAGCTTTCTAAATTTTTATTGCCCTTATAAACGTGATTTTTTTTTTACATAGGTTAAACAAACTTCCATAGCAACATGTAAAACAAAAGGTCAATTTATTAAAAGACTAATTAGTGAAAATTGATATCGTTATCCAATGTTCAAATGTGCTGTTCCTTTTCATATCACTTTCTTTTTTTTAATTTTTAATTGAATCATATCATCTGTATTGTATCAATGGTAATTGTATAAACTTGTTAAAACAGACCAATTAAAGTGATACAAAAACAGTATAAATAATAATACACTGACACAAAGTGATACTTTTATATCGTCTACAAGGAAACAACTATAATGACAATCAAAGTACGTGTTTATGAGATATTTAATAGATTTTAAAAATTTTAGTTAACGTTAACAATAATACTGTTATATTAATTGATTTATTTTTTTCAGCACCTAAGAGCATGCTCACATCTGAAACTAAACTATCGCACAACTGTTTAGTCGCACTTTGATTTCTATAAGCTTATATAGAGGTGCGCATACTACTCGATTTTTAGTTGAGCACTAAACAGTTGAATGGGCTGCGAAACAATCGACAATCGCTGAACAATTGTGTGACAGTTTAGTGAAAGGTGTGCGCGCGCTCTCATAATTCTAATATTTAAATTACTGTCTTTTTATAGAATGCGGCGGTGTGTTTCGTGCTGTACCTTTACATCAGTTCTTGCGAATCAAACTCCTGTTCATCAAATGAAGATGATACTTTTGCACAAGAAGTCTACGATGACTTAATTGGTGATCGCTGCAACGTATGCGTCGGGAGACCGTACCCGAAAAGACGCTCCGAATACAAATACAAGCCACATGAAAACGACTCAGATTATAAAGGAGACTGTAATTCAGAAAAACCAAAAAAAGACCACGAATATGAACCAAAAGATGAAGATGAGCATGAAGAAGAAGACAATTATAAACATGAACCAAAAAATAAAAATGAAGAAGAACATGAAGATGAAGATAGAGAACATGAAGATGAAGATACAGACAAGAACGAACCTAAATATGAAGATGAGAAAGAACCAGAGAAAGAAAATAATTACAAACCAGAAAATAAATATGAATATGAATCAAAACCTAACGATGATAAAGAATTGGAAGATAGAGACGAGCATAAGCGTAAAGATGACGAAGAAGACGAAGATGATGATGATGATGATGAAGATGATGGCGAATATTGCGAAGACTGTGACTCCGAATAATTAAAGGCATTTCATATAGTTCTAATTATTTAGGTGTTAGCCGTTGTTTCGAATTAGTACTGCAACGCATGCAGGGTTCTCAGGGTTCAGGTTCTCTTTATCTAAAATAAATATATTCTTTGATCACCAATCGCAGGTTCGTTTATAAAATTGACTGGTGAAAATTACCGGTGTGACTGAATTGGTGAAATTATTCCAAAGTGAGAGACACTAACAATGTGTTAGAGTAATTATCTCCGGACGACATAAACAACTGACAATTATCTTGGACCATTACTACCACGAGGACAAAACAATAAAGATAAAAATAGAAAATAGTTGGCTTTTCCCATACAACAAATATGAATAATTAACTGCAAGTTCCATAATATTTAATATTTAAAAGGAGGTTTGAAGAAACTGCAACTAGTATATCATTTGTGTTACACCGATCATCAAGATGTATGTATACTTTATTACATTGATTTGCGTGATTTTCAATTCTGGTCTCTGTGCAGTACAAGACGGCAGTTACGTAGAAAATCAACATGACGGAGACAGTGAATATCCGGAAATTAATAATTGGAAACCGATTCTTTTTGATGACAAAGCGAAACCAGTTAAAGAAAAATATTTAAAATCGGATGATAAACTTGTGTTTTTAAGACCTTACCAGCCTCCGCCTTTTATATACGGTCTGAATACTTATCCATATTATGTCTACGGCGGCGGAATCCCTGCACATCTTAACATGCCAATATATTCGTATCCTGATATCAATTACTTTGTTAAGAAAATCGACAAGGATAAACAATAGTTTCGTTTGAAAATAACTATTATTTCATATGAACGGTTTCAATGTTTTTAATGTTTGAATGATTCAATAAATGAAATCATACAATTTTGCTGTTTATTTTTTACTTTATACGAGTATTATATACTGTTTCGATGTTAAGAAACAAGGAATTGCTATGTATTTTAATCGGTGAAAATAGAAACAATCAGCTAGCCAGAGTCTTAAAATTATTAACCATTGTATGGTTAGCATTAAAATAAATCAAATCATTAAACAATCCAGGTTTATAATACGTTTTGCAACAATGTTTTGAAAAACAATTGCTTTACTAAATATAACAGGGGCATATTTTTCGACACATGACATATTATACACGTTACGTTACGTTTTATTGAACAACGAAATACAGTAGGTAAATAAGATTTAAATGCAGTGGGATCCCACTGCTAAAAATGTATACATAACATATCATTATCTCAGTTTTCTCGACTCAAAGAATGGAAAGAAAACATGTTTTCTTAAGAATTTTTCGTTAGTGAAAATCCATGGTTATGTGTCTCAACAAATATTGTTTCTCTCAATTCCAAGATTTGTTATCGACTATGTCATCCTTAGTCATACGCTAACCTCTAACAATAATTTTCTGTTAAATAATACCTCTATGCTAAAAAAAGGTTCTCAAACTTTTGATATACTGATAAAACTGTTAGATCTTATTTTCAGGAATTAAACAAACTAAAATACATTGTTATCATTGAAATTACCCGAAAGTCATGTCTTCCTACAAATAGACCAAAACACTTATTCAGACCACATCGAAATCCTTGTATGATAACAAAATATTCCCATACATTTAATTCTTAAACAAAACCGTGATAACAATACATTTACGTTTTAAAGAGGTGTTAGATATTGACCCAATCCATATTTTTAACTATCTCTACACCAAAGCAAAGCTAAACCAAACGCTAGTTATTAACATTATACTCTGCGATTTATCTCTCAAAATGTTTGAGAATCGTGTTTGATATTAGCGGTTAGCTTAAACATCAAGTATATTTGATGCAAATAAAGGCCACATATTTATAGGTTTGATGTTTACTCAGATATCTTATTCGCCCGGAATCAGCAATGGCGGTAGCTAAGGTAAATTCAATAATTTAAGCTTCATACAACCAATATATGTATGTATGTAACTACACTAATATAAGCTTAGATAAATTCTAAAATATTCTTTTTTTATTTAATTTATGGCTATACGTACAAATTGTCATTGTTTTTTAATTCAATTCCAGAATTTCCATATTTTAATAGTGTTTTTGGCGATACTAGCCGAGG